GTGTCAAAACGTTGGGTCTATGAATTGTAAATTCTTCAGTTACATTCATTAAATCTGCAAACCAGAGTAGCATCAAACTATGTCAGATCAGACACATGTTAAGAATGATATTTGAAACAGTTTGCTAACAAAGAGAAACAACACCACCTTGGAAAGATGATTGTGCACTAAGGAGGGTAATCACCAGGTAGTAATATTGTGAATGTGACAAAAATTTACCATGCTGTGGTTGGCTGGCATGTTTTACATGACATGTGATGCAACATGCTATACTGTCAGTCCTCTCTAATATGAACACTGAAGGGAAAGAGCAAAGTGTCTGTCCCAGCGAGGTCAGCACAAATTAATGGCATCTACTTTACAATTTCACTGGAAGTTTTAACATGTTTAGTACAGTGCTCTCAATAAGACCTGGCACCTGCCAGAGCTCCAGCGAGTATTCTCTTGTGAATCACTAGGTAAACTTTGGAAGCTTTTAAGTAAACTTATGAAGTGAGACCTAAAACACCTCGAGATCCCCTAGAGTTCTTTCAGTTGACTTTAAGCATTATAAACAAGTTTTGATTAAAATGATTGATATTGTCATATAATGTATTCCAGTGTACATTTCATAAATTTCCAAGAATATAGTGACTCAAATTTGAACAGTGACCATATTTCCTTTCAGAGCACTTAAGTGTGAAATTCATGGAGCAGGTTTACAAGTCAGCTAAAGGTAGATTTTGACTGGAAATAATACAGTCAGTTAAACAATTGTTATGAAGGAGACAAATATGTGATGATCATCTACAGAAGTTTAACACCGAAAACTCTGTTTGAAGCCATTTTATTCTCATTGGAAGTAATTAGATAACAAGAGGGAAATTGTTGTTCATGTTATCCTCCAGTGGGTGCTTTACCGAGGTGACCACCTTCTTCAAATCTTATTGAAAGCACTGCTAGTAAGAAAAAACAGGTACACACAGGGATCTTAATGTGCAAACATACAGTATTGAGACACAGAAGAATGAAACCAACTTCAGAATAATGTTGCACCTAAAAGAGTGGTAGTATACTTCAGTTTGTGAAATAATTGTTTTTCAAAAGTTTTCAATGGCAGTAAATAGTAGCGAAATTAAAAAAATTGCAAATTTTAGCCACATAAACCTTCAAAAGTCTTAACATTTTTTGGAAATACTCAAATACTCCACCTGTCTAAAAAAAGTTTATGATGCGAGGTTTTGCCAAATGAACTCCCTGGCAATTATGCCTTTGATTTGTCAGTGATTAGACACTGCTTTTGCTAAGTACCTATATCCTTTGGCAAGGCCTAGCTTCAGTAAAAAAAAACATCAATGTTTGTGTAACTGTAAACAGGAGATTGTATCTCATACATCAACTCCTGTCACCTGATCACTTAAGCATATGCTGTTTAAGGCAAAGATTTATTGTCCCTTATCCATTTTAGAGTCCACACTTAGCAGAAGTTTTTTTTTAAGAAAATAATTTTGTTTGTTAGGCTTTGGTTTCAACAAGAGAAATTTTCTGTAGTATTAAAGTGTACTGAAGGAGTGGCTCACCTGTAATTTTTAGCCTTTGTTAAGAGATCAGTGGATGGTTTTTTTCTAGAGTATTATGGGGAGGACATTACTTAACATGTGAATGTGCAAGATTATGAGACAAGAAAGGGTTTTTTCTTGCTCATAGCATAAGCTATGGAAACCAATCTTGTGTGTTTTTTTAATTAGAAGGCATAGTTATTTTCTAGAGGATTATAGGGAGAACATTACTAAAGATCATGTGATTGTGCAGATTATGAGACAGGGAAAGGTTGTCTTGTTCTCAGAGTAAGCTACAGTTGCTGTGAAAAACTGATCTTGTGTTCCTTAATTAGAAGGCAGTTGTTTTTAAAAAAGAAAGCTCATTAATTATTCAAACTTCTGATTCTAGAAACACTGAGATATACTGAAATTTATACTGTTCGCAGTTTGTTTGATTAGGTTTGTTAGCAAAACATCAAAACAGGTAAGCAGCGAAGTGGATTATCTAGATATGCATTTTTTTCTCCCTGTTCATTAACTAAGGACCCACCCCTTGACCTGCAAATAACTACCTACAAATTCATGTTGCTCACATGCAAGAACAAAGTGTGTTTTACAGCAAAGAATATTCAGCTCATGAGTAGATGTCTTTCCCTATCAGTGGAAAATGGCAGATCACTTCTATAAGCTATTCGATTTGCAAATCTCAAAATACCTTATAATGGAGGCAAACTCCATGAACTATTGAACAAGACCATGGCAAAATATTCTGATTTGTTAGTAACACACCCATCTGTTGTTTGCCTCAGTCTTCCTCCATGGTAAATCATCAGTCTGCCATTAAGAATTCACTTTATTTTGCTTAACCATGTCCAAAAATTGTTGATTTGTTGATGACATCTGAGTGGAGGATAACATTTATGGGAGCACTCCCAAAAAACAGAAGTCAACTATCAGGATTGAGCTTTGTCTTAAACAATAACCTCACTGAATACAAGGTAATCCAAGTTAGCAGTTACTAATAGAGGTGCTGTACACAGTTTATGAAATAAAACAAAAGGATCTATCAAGGAAAAAAGTTGAGATTAAAGAAATGAAGATACTTTCAATACCTCAAAAATAATAGAGGGCCTTTGTATATTTCACTGTCTTATTTTAACTCAGATTTCCATTAAATTTTTACAATCATAATAAACACAACTATTACCTTTCAGAACATTCAGTGGATACTATTTTGCTATGATTCTCTCAGCTGGCCTTAAACCCTAATATGCTGTACAATAAGTTCATGGAGAGAAAATTTCTGTCCTTTCCAGAGCTTCAAAGAAGAAAATAATTGTTGAGAGATATGTGGAGTTGATATATCAAACTTAAATGTCTCCCAGTTGGTTTTCATTTAGGGTGGGGTGGGTGGTACTCAACCAAAAACACCTAAGGATGTGGCCCCCTTAGATCCAAATCCTTATCCTTCATAGGCCACTTTTAATAAAAAAGATAGCCCTTTGATATAAAAAAAGAGGAAGAAACCCTCCAAACAGTGGTAAAAAATTGAGTTACAGTAAGTTACATCCCTTTTATTCACATGACTGATGACTGGCTAATCCTCATTAACCAAACAGGTCAAGAGAATAAAAAAATTGGAGGGG